GCCCACCGGCTCCGTAGTGTGTGGCCGGCGGCGGCCGCACACTACGGAGCTGGTAGGCGATGTTCCGCCCCCGGGACACCTCACACCGGCGCCCGCAACTTCCCCACAAGGTCACCGCTGCCGCCCCTCGGCGCTCTGCCGCCCCGAGACCTGGCCTCGGTGGCCTTGTGGGAAATCCGGGCCTGCTGGAAACCACAATTTTCAGATGTAAATCAGGCTGTAACATGAACATGCTTTACCAGGAACACTCTGTTGTTCTACAATGTCCATCATTTAACTAACCATATGCAACAGTCCATAGAGAAATGATGACTGGAACCGGAGAAGTGATCTTTCTTCAAATCCCATACTTCCTAAAAGACTTAAAAATGCAATAAAGGATACATAAACCCCAACAATGAGCTTTCCTTACTTGCTCCCATTTGGTCTGCTAAATATACCACTGAAAGTGTTTTTTTATATCTGTTCGATAAGTGCAAAGAAAATACCTGTTGATCCTTCCAGAAATCTTGTCAACTGATAACTTCCTGTGCTATCTGCCTTTGTGGACTACAGAACACCTCCCCTCTATATGGAAAGAAAAAGGTGATGCGTGCTGAAGTTCTATCCTAGGGTGATAACACTGCATCTTCATGTCAACATGAACCTTTCCAACTGACATCATTGCTATTTACACACCACCCAAGTCTACACATGGCTGCCCAACATGGACATCATCCCTTAAGAGTGTGTGAAGGTACAACTCTTTTTTTTTTTGCTTTTTGCTTTAAATAGAATGGGGAAGGTTTCAAACTTCTGTCAGATCAGTATTGCTGCCATAGTCCATGTTGGGTTGATTCACCCATTCGATCTGTTCAGCTCACATCCTTTACTGAGAGAGATATTGATGGAAAATCTTTAGAGTTTTAGAGTTACCAGAGCAAGAGGTGAGGGTGAGCCTTCTAATGGGGACACCTGTTGTGGTGACAACTGTGTAAGAAGGGAATTCGCCTCACGTTGGTTACATTTTCTCCTATTTCCTGTTGTGTCTCTGGGAAAAGAAGTGAAGTGAAATCTCCCCGGCAGGACATGGACAGCAGAAAATAACATGAAAGGGGATTTAATTTTAAAGGAATTTACATCAATTTTAAAAGGAGAGGGCAAATATAGGACTTCTCTTCTCTGTGCCATTTCCATTATTCTTTGGAAGTACGGGAGGTCCAGCACTCTCTGTAAAAGTCCCTCTCTATCTTCCATGCTCACTTTATTTCCTCTGAGATTACCATAGACTTGGCATGTTCCTTACAACCACACACATCATCACACCGATATAATGGACTGTGACGGTTCATCACAGATTCAAAACCTCAGAACTGAACTGCTTCACTTAGACCGCCGACAGCCCAACATTTATACTTACGGGAAGAAAGCCTCAAAATGGGAGCCAAAGCCATAGATATTGAAGTAACACCCGAGAGGTAAACTCTTCAATAGAAGAACCAGCGTCTCCTGCAGAGGAAAGACAATAAATAAGACCGCCTTCCCCCTCCCTGCCTGCCAGCTCTGATCAGAGCCATATGTACAATATTAGAAACTGACATGATGGGAATCCATGTGCACTTCAATCATCTAATCAAACATCAAGTCATTAGGAAAAACATATTTTTTTGTATGACTGGACGCTTTAACCACAAACAGGTTTACTTCACCCCACTTTCTACTGTAATAAATTCAGCTCAGGATCAATTCACGTCTCTGAATATCACCTTAGCTTCACATAATGTCCACTTATTTCATTAGCAGGAAGGTCTTTCTAGCCCGTGTTCTAGCTGATGATAGGTGACTGTTTTTTTGATAAATTATTTACAGGGTTATTCACTAAAGGCTGAAGAGTTTGGAGGAGGCCGGGCAGTGAACATTCTAGGCCAAAATAGCTGATTTGGAAAAATTCTCCAAAGTCAGCTCACTTTCCAGCTCAGCTATGTTGTCCTAGATTGTTCACTTCTCCAAACTCCTCACCCCTTTGTGAATAACCCTGTTAAATTTACCAGAAGGATCCTGAGACACATTTCCAATCATGTCAGTATTAGATGGTCAATTGGGGCACTTTTCCAACCTTGGCACTCTGAATCCTCTGCGGGGCGTTGGGCTCAGAATTCATTGAACACTCCATACTGCCAGACACAGGCCGGTATTGGGGGGACACAGGCCGGTATTGGGGGGACACAGGCCGGTAATGGGGGGACACAGGCCGGTAATGGGGGGACACAGGCCGGTAATGGGGGGACACAGGCCGGTATTGGGGGGACACAGGCCACAAGGAAAATAAATTATCCACAATTGGTCTGCTCCTGTCCAGATGGGAAACTCGGATAGAAATTTAACATGGCCACTGACTCCGCCATAATGGACCCTACAGAACACAGGGAGAAAATAAGATTGTAACACAGACCAAGAGCACAATCAGTCCACTCCAGTATGTTCAACAAAGCTTTTACAGAGGCTACTGAACAATTTAATCGCCTTCACCACTGTCACAGACTTTTATTAATAACAGCAAATTTGTGTCCAATCATCTAAAGAGTCATATTAGGAATGGGTGTATTTACTGTTGCATAGTCATTTAGTTACTTTATAGTATTTAAAATAGAACTACCCCTGTTTCCCTGAAAATAAGACCTACCCCGAAAATAAGACCTACCCCGACAATAAGACCTAGTTGTGACCATTTCCATGGCCGGTGGTGTCATAAGGGGGAACTTGAAGAGCTTTGGATTATTTAATTCGGTGCCAATGAATGGAAAGGTACAGTACCCCTGATTGCCCTGATCACCCTATTCTTAACTTTTCCATTTTGGATTATTTAATTTGGATTTGCATTAACTTTGGATTGTTATACATTTAAAAAAATAAAATAAAATAAGACCTACCCCGAAAATAAGACCTAGTGTGTTTTTTTGAGCCCCAAAAAATATAAGACAGTGTCTTATTTTCGGGGAAACACGGTATGGACCAACGTTTTTTGGCATTAGTATTCTTTAGGGTCACAGGCGGACAATTACTATCGTGTTTCCCCGAAAATAAGACACTGCCTTATATTTTTGGGGGCTCAAAAAACCACACTAGGTCTTATTTTTTTATTTTTTTAATATAGAACAATCCAAAGTTAATGCAAATCCAAATCCAAACTAAATAATCCAAAATGGCAAAGTTAAGAATAGGGTGATCAGGGCAATCGGGTGCCGTACCTTTCCAAGAGCAATTTGGTAACCAGAATGAGCAAAGCGCACTTTCACTATGGCCGCTCTATTCACATATTCACTATGGCCGCACTATTTCACATGACCGCTCATTCTCTCCCGCGGCTCTTCAAGTTCCCCCTTATGACACCACCAGCCATGGAAATGGTCACAACTAGGTCTTATTTTTGGGGTAGATCTTATATTTTAGCAATTCCCAAAAATAGTACTAGGTCTTATTTTCGGGGAAACATGGTAATGTCCTCCTGTTTGTTTTGTGTACTTCTTGTTATATAACTGTGTCATACAAGATGCACATAAGGAAAAAAAGAACATCTAGGATGAAGGCAGAAGAGAATAATGAGAGGGTAATAGGGGCATAGACAGGAGAGGAGGAGAATGACAGGACAATTAGAAGGGCACTGATGAAGACAAGAACAAACAACATTTCCAGACAATACTTGTGTCCGACCAGTTAATAATCTTCACATTTTCAATAATAATCTACAAGTATTGCCAATAATGACAAAAAGCTTCAGGTGGGGACAGCAGGAATAGAGTTCCCAATCAGTATTGCCGAGCTTAGTCTTGATGGCTGAGAGGTATGCCAGTTTTGGAGCACCTTGATGTCACGGATCAAGGCTCATGGGTATAAACTGGAATCAGGTCTGTGGACCCTATCTACTACACTGGCAGGGACACTTAGAGAAAAGGGTGCAAGCAGTGTAGGATGACGACTCCCAGAGTTGGAGTACAAGCAGGGAACAGAGCAGGGGAACTGAATGAGGCAGTGGAAGACAGAATAGGCTGGTAGATCAAGGTACTAGGCAGGGTGGCGCAATGCTAGGTAGGTGGCATGGGGTCCCCAGGATGTGGAATCTGAGGGCCAGCCGGTTTTCACCAGAGCTCCTGATGGTGGAGATAGGCTTGGCTGTATGCTGACCCCAGGTCAGGTCACAATCCCTAGGTTCACCCAACTCACCCAACAGCCAAGAATGGTGGACAAGGCCAGAGTTCTGGACAGGTTGCAGATACACATACAACGGACAAAACCAAGGTCAGGGATAGGCAGATGACTAGGGCTTTCAGGGACAATCCAAAGGATAAAGGACAGACTGAAGACTGGGATCAGCAGGGACAAGTCAAAGTTCTGGGCAGACTGAGGACAAGGATTTCCAGGGACAAGCCAAAGGTCGGTACACAGGCAATCTCCAAGGAATTCAGGTTCATTCGCAACCAGGGGGGCTCAGCATCTAGCTTGGGAAAGCGTTGCCGGTCGCTGCCCTGGGTTTAAATAGAGTCAGCAAAAGGGAGGCTCTACAGGATTGGCCACAAGAGGACTGCCCTGATTGGTCGAGAAGCTGCATAAGAAACAGCAGGGGAGGTCGGCCGAAGCCTAAAGCTGCCAGACTGGTGCAAGAGCGACTCAGGTTCAGAGCACATGGCTGGAGAACTACAAGCAACAGCACAGCCTTGAATGCCTGCAGAACCAGGGGTAAGAGGTCTGCAAATACTTGTAGAATTAAAAGTAACAGCTCAGCTGCAAGTCTGCAGCTGAATTGTTACACTTGAACTCGAGTGTCCTCTGAAAAGAGAAGAACCAGCTGAGGCGGGTATGTCAAGAGTTTTTGGAATTCAGTACAAGGCATCCCTAAAAGCAGGGCTTGGGCCAACTCAGAGCACAAGTCAGGCTTTATATCTACCAGATGACCTAAGAAGACCTTTTGAACAGAAAAACAAGAGTTACCAGCAATAGAAAGTCTGGGCTGACCTGCTCAGCCTGTAGGTAGGTGCAGTATGGCCAACGGCCACTAGATGTCCCCATGGGGCCCTAGAGATAGATGCAGCTCTGGCCTGGGAAGACTCTGTGTCCCAGGAGAGGTGATTTATAGTGTCAGGGTATTTCCATATAAAATTATATAAAAACTGATGAACGATGACTTGTACAGAAACTAAATCAAACTTTTCTGTGCAAGTCTGTGCTGGACAGATAAGTTAATCAACCAAAATAGCCTATTGTGCACAAAACTAAGCAATGGACAAACAATGCAAAAGAGAGCCTTGAAGAACCAGCTATTGTACTAACCAACTAAATCCAAAGAGATAAACATTGCAAATGAAGTCTAAGATTTGAGTAACCATGGAATCACAATTGACAATGCTGAAAGACCTTTAAGACTTCAAGGTCAGTAAATAAAAGAAATTAAACAAGAAAGACCCGGATTAAGGATATCTTTGCCAAATATGAAAAATTAACCAAGAAACATAAAAACTCCAAGACAGCTAATTCGCCCGATTGTTTCAAGATTGATATCACCGATGATTATTGTCTGAGGTTGAGTAAGTTCTCAAACACATCCAAGGCTTACTCAACTGAACGCAAACGATATGAGTAAATCATACCAATCAACTACCATTTCTGAACCGATCAATAGGAAGAAAGCAAATAGTGGCTGGGGAGTCGTCAATACGAACAATGCTTCCCAACCATATAAAATACCATGAGAGACTTCCAAG